ACAGAATAATTGTTTATATATACAGCATTCTTATATGTATGTCACTTTGGAAAAGAGCGTCTGCTAAATGAGTAAATTTAAATGTTTAATAAGTTAAGTTATAGGGAGATACTATGCCATTTTTATTTATCTTACCTAGACATTACTGATAAGTTTTACTGCTGCGTATACATCATGTGGTTTTTTTTTTTGTAAACTTGTTTTGTCTGACTTTTTGTTTTGTTTGGTTTTGTTTTACAGTTTCCTTTTGTTCTTTGTTTTCTTTTTTTTAGAGCATGCATGAAACTCGTTCCATCCGTCTCCTGCTTGCTTCCATCCCTGTCACAGTCCAGTACTGTTGCTGTTTGTGAGTTCCATCGATTGCGCCACACGGGGCAGGGACTGCACCCGCCGCTCGTCCTGTTCCCTCAAGCCCGGGGGACAGCAGGGCTCCGCACATACAGCCGTCTCAGGGATGTCTCCGTGCACTGTACAAAGGGCAATGTACACATTCACTGCTGAGCGCTAATCAGAATTAGAATGGGTCCAGGGCCTTGGAACAATTTTGACTTTACCACCGTTTCTTCATGAAGAATGTTGAGTATACAATTGTTACTGCATTTCTACCCATTTCTCCCCTCCTTATTTCTTCTGTTTTTGCATATTTGTCACAATTATTTCAGATTTTCAAACAGAACAATTTATATGACAAAGACAACCTCAGTAAACACAAAATACAGTTCTTAAATGACCTGAGCCGATCGTGGCCTGCATTTCCATAGATGCTAGTCTTGGTCCTTTTGGCTCATGGGAATTTCACTTACACAAAAATGTTCTGAGGGCAGAATGAAAAATTATTGGTTCAGGAAGATAACCAGTCAGGTTGTAGAGGAGGTGGGTCCAAGCAACTAAAGGTGGTGGACCCACACAATAGGATATCTTAGTCTCACCTCCTCTAGTTGCTTGAACCCACTACCTCTACGATCTGATTGGTTATTTCTCTGAACAAGTCATTTTTCATTCTGCCCTCAACATTTTTGCATAAGCAGAACTCCCCTTTTGTGTCTTCCTGGATGAGACTCAGCACATTCTCGGAGGAATTTGGGTAGGCCAGCCACTCCTGGGAAGGTTCACCACTGTTCCAGATAATGGCCCAATCCCAATACCCCCTCTAAGACCTAATTCCTAAACTCTTCCAGACTTAACTGACGTGACCTGGTAAGTGACTGAGTGCGAGAGGCTGCAAGGGCATGAAATGGCATGAACAGGAATGGGCCAGCACATTGTGACGTTGCCTTGACAATGCCAAAACGTGTTTCTGTTGTGGTTTTGGAAAATTTTATTTTGTGATTTGCATTTTCTTCATGGTCAAGACAGTCAATGGATCATCCTCCTAATCTGAACATGTTCCAGGCTCTTGGCATACAGAGTGGATGAGAGGTAATTTTCAAATAATCAATTTAATCCTGTTGTCAATACAGCAACAGTAAACAGTACGCTTCTGGGCTTCCCCTGATAACCCTGTGTCTCATGCGACAACGATTCAAATTGTGAGTAATTCCCTCAAGCAAAGTCTACAAATATGCAGACTTACAGAAAGTGTGCATAAAAGGTTCAAAATACCTGTGAGAGAGCCCTCATGTACTTGACAGTTTGACAGTGGGACAGCCCTAAGACCTCACAGACTTGGTGGGAACACACCTTCATGATTAAGGACATTGAAATTGGGCCAGTGACTCTCACAGTGGTTTACAGGAGTCGCTGAGCCTTAAAAATAGCTTTGTAACCAGTGTACAATTCGTTAACTTCCTTTCTCCTCTCTTTCTCAGGACTTCTTTTGATCGCAGCATAGTATGCTGATGGTTGAGACTTTTTAGCCTATTTCACATTGCTGAAAAAGGTTAAGTGATGTTTAAATTCAACAGCCTGGCAGTAATCAAGGCTGGATACGTCTAGTGTAATTGAATTTAGTCATCTATTAAATTTGGTTAATTGGTTGCTTGAGTCTCACTATGTCTTCCAGGGACAGTTGGTGCGAGACATACGTCTCTGCAGGGTGGAGTAGAGGGCGTGTCGAAAGGTGACGTGTGCAATAGAGCAGTGGCCTGTACTACGAAGCGGGGTTGCTATCCTATCGGGGTAACTTGTCGGATTTAAGGTAGTCTGGGCGAAATGTAAGTGAACGAATATGAAGTCCATTTAAACTGTGGTACCTTAAATCCGACCCCGATAGTTACCCCGATAAGCCAGTAACCCTGCTTCGTAGTACAGGCCACAGGTGTGTTAAGAGTTTATATCTATTAGCCAAAATTACTGTCAATAAATGTTATTTCAGATAGAGACCAGGTGTTCACCAGACATATTGTAGGTCAAGCAATGACATCTATAATGAAATGCTTGTTTCATATTGGTTCATATAGCGCAAGACATTTCCTATGCTTACTTGCGTTTACTGGCATACTTCCAGAGAGCGCAATGGAAACTACACATAGGGTTTCACCCACCTCACCACACACTTTTCCTGTCGACACACCCACACACCTTTTGACAGGCCCACTGGCCTTTCCACATGCCCACTGACCTTTTGACCCACCTTTTTACATGCCCATAGACCTTTCGACACACCTACTGACCTTTCAACATGCCCACAGACCATTCGACGTGCCCACTACTCCAGCCTGCAGAGACCTTTACTTGGTTGGTGCTGGATAACCTTTTTGCTGTTCAGTAAACAAAATTACCATTTTAAAACTGTATTGTGTATTTACTCTGGTTGTCTTTGTCTTATACATATATTTTTTTGAAGATCCAAAACAAGTGACATACATAAATAGAAGAAATACTTTTTTCCAGCACTGTGTCAGTGTACTATACTCAGAATACTGAGTGTTTCATTCTGAATTATATTGTATTTTGGGGGTGGAACGGTACACAATATTTACAGTTCTGTACAAACCTTAGTTTTGGGTTAACGGTTCAGTGCAGTTTCAGTACAGCAGGGAAAACAGAATTTGTTTAGAAAATATTTATTATTAAAGTACAATTAATTAGGAACAGTTATAAACCAAAAGCAATGTGTCTCGACATGTCTGAATAGCAAAACCTAAGATTTACTTACTTGAATGCTATAAACAATAAGTTGTAAAAACAAATATGTAAAACTTAGATATATATTACGGCTGTCAATAGATTAAAATATTTAATCATGATTAATCGCACAACTGTCCATAGTTAATCACAAATGAATCACAAATTAAATCATGAATTTATTCAACATTTACCATTAAGGGATTTTTTCAGGTGTTAATTTTCTTGTCAATATTAGAGTTGGCAAGTCATGATTACTTTATGCAAATGTATGCATTTATTATTGGAAATCAATCACCAAAAATAAGCAACAACAAAGATTGTCCAAAGGTCATCAGAAACCCTTCATCACTTAAGAAAAACTCAAGCCCAACAACAGATTAGCACGTTGACCTGCTAAATATTACATATTACTTAGTCATATAACTAAGTACAGATCAGAGGTTAGCAACCTTTTTAAAGCAAAAAGCCATTTTATCCTAAATGTCTGACTTAAGATTTACAAAGAACCCCAATGGATAGAGAAGAGGGTTTTCGCTATGATTTTTAATGCAATATCGGTATATATGCATTTAACACAAAAACAATAAAGAAAAACAATTTTGGGGGAGGGGGCTCTCAGTTTTAAATCACTCGGACGCATAACAGCGCAAAGGTGACTAATATCACAATATCGTTCAGTTCTGTAGCGATAGTCTACACCCTCATCCAAGTTCGTTTGGCTCCGCAGTTGTCTGCCCTTCACTTCACTACTTGTAACTGTGCTGACCGAGCAATGCAAAATGTCCTGAAATCAGCTGGCTATAATATGTAAATCTGAGAAAATATAATAATTTTACGAAGATCAGGGAAGGCTTGGTGACGATTTACTACGAAAAGTATATGAAAATTAGGAATCCCAATAAACTTAATAAGCCTACATCCAAGAAAGAAGAAAGCATACCATTTCACCGGAGATGTACTCTTGCAGAGAATGACTTTGATGAAAAAGTAAATTATGCTGTTAAGACATCTCAGAAGTGCGCGACGGATCGCATCATTCACATATAGCTGAAATACTTAAATGAAAAATAATATTAACCCATAAATAAATTATTTATATTTACAAAAGTATTATCATATGTTAAGACATGAAAATGCGAATGCGTCTGTCGTTCTGAGAAGAGCCACAGCCTGCTATGGTATTTAAGACTAGATGTACTTAGGTGGTAACTTATTTCACATCAACAGTAACTGTATGTTTGGTCTTGACCCATCTGAGTTTTGAAGCTGAACCTCCCATTCAAAATACCTTTTTCTTTGCTCATTATTTTTCATTATATATATATATATAAACATCATAATAATCATAATGAACTAAATACTGTGTTCTCTGCTACAGAGCATGGTCATATATCTGTAGCGATAAACACCCCCACAGCCATAATTATTTTGTAGTCTAAATTTCCAGGCAAAAGCGCCTTAAATGCTACAGAGAGACTAACATGCAGAGGTTGTTTTCCGTCTTGCTCCCGTCGTACACACACTCACATGATAGTCACAAATAAGTTAGCAGGTTGGATGTGTTTTCTGCAACATATCTGAGTTTGGTATAACAAAACCGACAGTCTAATCAGCTACTCTCTCTCCAGTACTGGTGTAATTTATTTGGAAACCAAAATGTTTCCTAACCACTGATAAATACTGAATGTCATCGGCAGTAGATGTAACTAACTTATAGCCAGAATTAGTGAATATAAATTTAGATTCCACCCATGTCAATAATTATTTTCCTTCGTTTCATTGTGCATACGACCCAAAAACGATGTATGTGTACCATAGCAGCCCTACTCTGTGTGTGTGCATATTTGTTTTGTATTAATATTAGTGATTGCTTGTGTGTGCATGTGCCTACAGGGCTGTATTGATTGTTTATTTTTGTTTTCTGATTTCAGCCCAGGCCTATAGCAGGATTCCGTGGGACTGTACGCTATGCCTCAGTAAATGCCCATAAAAACAAGGTAGGCACTGCAGACGTGCTCTTTCTGCTACACGTGCTGTTCTTTATTCTGTTTGTCTTGAAAACTCACGGGCGGTTACTACGCTGATGATATTAAAAACAGTTTTCAGTTCATCTTCCTAATGGCCCCATCAAGAGTTTTTTGTGATTTGATTAAAGTTTTATGAAATGGAAAATTTAAAAAAAGTCAAACATTTATAATTCTTCATGGTACCATGACTGTTGGCGGTTTCGTTTATAATCCATTTGTGTGGTTAATCTTATATAAATGGGACTCTGGTGTAATCCATTTAATCTTTTTAATGTCCCATCAATCTCTGCAACATTTATACTCTTTTATAAGTAACTTAGGATTTAATGTTGTCAAGCAAGAATTCGGCAAATGCCTTTAAAAGGGTATTTTAGCAAATTATCATGAGAGTGCTGTAATGTTAACATACTGTACAGCCTTCCTGTATGGCTCAGTGTGCTATACATAATATTGAACACACACTCAAACATGGCATTGATCATTTTATAGTTCGATGTATCTAGCAACTTCATGAAGTAGTCACCCCTAGACAAAATTTAATTTTGTATAAATTTAATAGCTTCTTTTATTCTTGTTTTAAATAACTTAATTTTCACATAATTCACACAATACATGTAGAACATTCAAATACCATTTTTGCTATAATGCTGATAATATGAGCACAGGTTCAGCCCGGTTGGCATTAATGTCACCTTTGATTGGCTAGATGGGTTCACATGACCCCTCTGTAAGGTTCCACTTCTGAGAGTGTACAGTTAGATGCTGCCATGAAAACCAAGGGAGCTGTTGATTCATCTCTGTGACAACCTGGAGAATGATGTAAAGAAAAAATACATGTTCTTCCCCAAAGTTACTCAGAGCACAGTTTTGTCCTTTCTGAAAAATTTGCCTGTTTATGATGGCAAACATCCATGATACATGGAGATATTTTTATATGAAGGAACAGGCACATTCATACCCCTCAAGGTATGAAAGAGTTGGCTAACAGAACAAAATATAAAAGCCACGGTTTACTGTTTCACACCCATCGGTAGCAAAAGAAGAGAATGATCCAGCCAGAATTCTCCTGGAGCTGGCCGTCCAAGGCAGAGTGCAAGTTAGAAAAGTGAGTGAGAAGTCAGTGGCGTTCCATGGCTGAGTGGAGAGAGCATCTGGAGAAGAATGACCTCTGCAGCACTGCAGCTCTAGCCTGTATGAGAAGGTTGTTTAACAGAAGCCACTCCAGAGTCCAACAGGACAATAAGGTGAATCAGACAGCCTAGACTTCCAAATCAAGCAACAGGAAGGCCTTGAGTGGCTCAACTAAAGGCCATGCACCAGTCCTATTGAAAATATATGGAAAGATCTGAAGATTATAGTTAACACAGCTGTTACCAAGCTGATACAGACACTCCCAAGAAGAAGTAACTGCTTCTGAAAATTAATGACTTTATTAAAACGTTTTATTCCACAACTTACACAAATGTGGAAATACAAGGAACATCATGAACTGGACCATTAACACCTTTAATGGCAGGAATCACAACCAATGGTTTGTGAATCTGTCTCAAATAGCACCGCAGGAAATGGGTTGTGTGGCTCCGGAACATGGAGTACAGGAGGAACAGGAATTTCAACACAGTAGCCGAGGAGTAGAAATGCAAAGAAAGAACTGAAAACAATACTACAAAGCCTACAGACAGGCCTCAAACTAACACCATGTGTGCAAGACTCCAGGAAACGTAGAAACAAGACAAGAGCAACAGAACCACAAATCCAAATGCCACACCAGCAAAGAAGAGAGACAGACCTAGAGATAGAACTCCAATGAAGAGAATCATCTCTGTTAACCAGGGAAGAGAAGTCTAGCAACTGAACTGAGCGAACAAGCTGTAAGCAGAGTGTGCTGCTCAATCTGAGTAGGACCCATAATCTGAACTTCCTGTTCAGAGGGAGGTCACCTAGAGCATGCACCATAATTAGCAGAAAAACTGTGACAGTGTAATAGACTAGATAAATCTACTTTTGTTCTTATTTTTTAAATATATTTATATAATGAAACCAACATATTTCTGGACGTTCTTTGACATACTTTCTAGTGCAAAATAAAGCCATTTCAAAGCATTGTGATGTAATGCAAATTGCACTTATTCAAAGTGCTGAACTCTTTCTGAAATAAGTGTAGGTCACATTTAGGCGAATGCTGTTAAATAGTGAAATATTATCATTTGAAATATGTGAAAGGTGTACAGCTCAGAATGTGGGATTTTACCTATGATTGCTGCTTTGGAGTTTAATTTAGACACCATTCTTTTTCAAAACATTAATCTTTCCTTTTTTTTGTTCTACCAGGAGATGGGTCGCCATGACGACTTATGGTCCTTGTTTTACATGCTAGTAGAGTTTGTGGTTGGCCAGCTGCCTTGGCGGAAAATAAAAGATAAGGTAAGTATACTAGACCACCCACTGAGGCCGATGCCATTCACATCTCGGTGCAAGTTGCCTAACAATCTGATAGATTAAAGATATGTATTAAGCAACTACAAATGCGATACAATATGATTCACTCCTATTGCGATATAGTGGGATTTGACACAATTTGATTCAACACGATGCAGTATGATGCATCGCCAGACACGCCTCCAAGTCGCACGAGACTTGACCGCGAGACGTGCAGAGAATTGGCCACTGACAGTAGCGGAGAACTGGAGAAGAGAGATTGCGCTTGAGAAGCAGTTGGGGGGGGGAATCAATCTAAATATAAAATTATTGTTCAAAAATTATTGTTCACATTTTTAAATAATAATGGCATAGGGCTTCTACTAATAATTGTATATGAATAAATTGGATTTTACGGGTATAAGGATGTTAGAATTAATGTGCCCTGAGATCATTCCAAATTGTATCTGGTGCACACTTCCATGCCAGCGCACCAATGCCAATAGCTGAATATTAGCTTCCCTAATAAACGAGCACCTGGGCCGGTATGCATAAAACTTCTCAGAGTAAAATTTCACTATTAAATGCGTCACAATTCTAAGAGTGACGTGATTTTGCTCCCACTCCCAGACTTAAGAATGAGTGGCATGCATAAACATTCTTAAGTGTTAAGACTTGGTCTCAGCTCCTAAATTATTTAAGAGAGCTGGAGAGGACTCCTAAGCCAGTTAGGAGTTGAATGACGGCAGCTGCACTACGCGCCCGAAGACGGAGACCGCGCACTTTCCGTCAAAGAAAGGGCGTACTGCAGACGTACGCCAATAATGAATTGATAAAAAGGTACAGGCTCGATCATGAGGGCATTCTTTTTGTTACCAACCTAATTAGGAACCGGATACAATCTCCTACGTTACCTAAAAATGCACTTACAGTTGATCTGAAGGTGATAATGATGCTACGTTTTTGGCAACTGGAAAAATATATTATTATTATTATTTTTATTATTATTATCATCATCATCTATTATAGCGAGGGTCATAAGAGCAGTATAAGTAATGACACAAACCTGTAGCTTGCATGCTTGCTTTATAAACTGTGATTTCCTTTCGCGAGGTCAATAGAACATTATACCACCTTTTTTCACATTCCTCTGATGAACGCATTGTCCGAGGTGACGCAGCATTTACGGAGTTTCTTTTAGTTGGTTTTCTTTTAGGATCCAATGTCTTGCTATGAGTTTTGCATTTGACCCATAATGTATACTACATGTGCATCTATTAGTGGAAATTGATTGGTGGTGTGCTAGGTAGATTTTCGTACAACGAATTAAAGGTATGATCACAAAAAGGTATGTTGTATAAAGCTCTACATTAACGGTTTAATGTCACTAATATATTCACCGTGCAGCTTCTCTATTGGTTGAACTCAGTATTTGGGGCGGGATTTTATTTGTAGTCCTCATTTCACGACACTTAAATGCTGGCTCCGTCAGCACTTAGGAATTGGGCTTAGACTTTGCTGAAAGTTACTTTTAGCAGCTTTTTTAACTTTTAAGTCAAAGTGTACGACCATTCTTAAGACCATTCTTAGGAAGCTTTATGCATACCGGCCCAGGTCTTTACCTGTTTATCTGATCACTTAAAAGTCATTTAAATGTCAGTAATGAGTGTTTGTGTTTATGTTCTAACAGGAGCAAGTGGGCCAAATAAAAGAAAGATACGATCAAAAGGTGCTGCTGAAGCACATGCCCACTGAGTTCTGTACGTTCCTCGATCATGTCGTCAGCCTCGATTACTTCACCAAACCGGATTACCAGGTACCACTCCGCCTTTTTGGTGTCCTTCAGAAATATACTTGGTTACCTGCCATATCCCATTGGGGGTTGCTTGGTGGTTTGCACTCCCACCTCACCCCTTGGGGTCCTGGGTTCGAATCTGCACATTGTGTGTGTGACCTCTGCACATTCTCCCCAGAGGTGGGTAGTTCAGATCCAGAGTAAAATTCCAGACCAGGGTTTTGTTTCAGCCAACCAGCTGAGTAAAGGGTCACAGCCACAGAGTACTCAGCTGGTTGGTTGAAACAAACCCCTGGCATGGACTTTTACTTTGTGCACCTCAATTATCCACCTCTGATTATCCCTGAGGCATGTGGGTTTTCTTCCACAGTCCAGAGATATTTCTCGTTGTTCATGTCCTGGGGGCAGAAGCTGTCACGGTAAAGTAATTCAGCTAACTTCAAGTGACATATCGTCTAGAGCTGGAACATTCATGGTGCACCAAAAATTAGCTGTGCACTCACAGAATGATGCAGGTAGCACGGGGTGTGCCGCGGAGGGGGGAACGGACATCCCCTCTAAATCATTCATGCTCCTTTGGGCCCTTTGTCAGCCTGCAATGTATCAATGTGTCACACTCTCAATGCAGTTCTGTGATGTTTTCTCTAAAAATCAACTTCCTTTACAGCTTATGAAGTTATGATGTCCTGCAGCAGGGAGATTATATAATTTATATATGTGTATTATATAAGTTCACCTATAAAAAACATACATTTGGAAATAAACATGAACGTAGTAGCCTAATCAGGACCTGAATCTGCCAGCGATGCACTAAAGCTCTACTGTCTGTCACTTATTCATCTAATTTACTTAATATTTTTCACAGCTTCTAATGTCGGTATTTGATGACAGCATGAGGGAGCGAATAATACTGGAGAACGAGCCGTTCGACTGGGAGAAGGGGGAGTGTGAGGCCCTGCTTTCCACCAGCATGTCCACCGCGCCGCAGCAGAACACAAGGCAGACGGCCGCCATGGTGGGGTGAGCGCTGCCCCGCCGGACCCGGAGGCCATTAGGGCGGCACAACCCTGCGTTATGCATTTATACTGCATCTGTGTGACTATATAGGAGTGATTCTACGATTCCTTAATGGTGGGAGGCATAATAGCAGCCATGATTCATAGAGAGGGGCCAACCTTTTCATTAGCCAATGATATGTTTTGAATCTGTGAGTGACAGGGGAGATGGCACACTGGGGCCAGTTGCACCTGTGGCCCCACCCCTGTATACGCCCCTGTGACTATGGCAGCACTACGGGGTTTCACTGAGTCCTGCTGATGCCTGAAATTTTTAATTGATTAGAATTATAACAGATACAATGAACTGCACTTATATACTCCCACACATGCAAACTTACTCTCACAGCAGAATAGCATTACTCAAGAAGTATATTATTTATATTATGTAGTGTTTTTAGTACATGACTGTTTTTATATCAGTGTGTATTCTTTAGATCTGGGGTCTGCAACTCCAGTCCTAGAGAGCTACTGTCCAGTAGGTTTTCTGTCTACCTGGCTTCTAATGAACCATAACTGTTCCTGGTATTTATCTGAGAACAGGTGTTGCCAGGTAGGATGGAAAACCTTCTGGATAGTAGCTCCCCAGGACCAGAGTTGAAGACCCCTGGTTTAGATATTATCTCCATCCATCCATCCATTGTCCAACCCACTTATCCTACTGGGTCGCAGGGGGTCCGGGGTCTATCCCGGAAGCAACGGGCACGAGGCAGGGAACAACGCTGGACGGGGGGCCAGCCCATCGCAGGGCACACTCACACACCATTCACTCACACATGCACACCTAAGGGCAATTTAGCAACGCCAATTAGCCTCAGCATGTCTTTGGACTGTGGGGGGAAACCGGAGTACACCCCACGACTACAGGGGGAGAACATGCAAACTCCACACACACGTGACCCAGGCGGAGACTCGAACCCAGGTCCCAGAGGTGCGAAGCAACAGTGCTAACCACTGCACCACCATTCCACCCCTAGATATTATCTCAAAAGAGCAATTGGAATGAATTTTACTATGTTGCAATTTTCATCTATTAATTTTATGTACTGTAAACTCTGTGCTTTGTATTCTGGCTTATAGCCAAGACCAGGTTTAGTACATTGTACAGAAATTTATCTGTATAATTGAGACAATGACACTTTGAATTTTACTGTCCTGATTTGAATGATTAGTATGCTTATATCGATCCCTGTGTGCATGCAGTCTAAAGAGTATGGTCAAGCTGACTGTTGCATTCTATTATAATGTAGAAATGATTGCCCGTTGTTTGCAGGGTTGTCAATGTGACCCCAATCCCTGGAGACCTTCAGAGGGAGAACACCGAGGACGTCGTTCAGGACGAGCACCTCAGTGACCAGGACAATGCCCCGCCCATGGTGCATGTCCGTCACGGAGAGAACGGCCAGCTGCCTGCCGAGGGAGAGGCTTGGGAGGACACCGACATCAACCGCAACAAGCTCAGGGTCAGCAACGGAAAGGTGCTTTTCTTCAACCATGTAAAGTGGAGACTATAACAGCCAGTGGAAAAAAGAGCACTGTGCCTTTAAGACACCTCATATTAATACAGCATAAATGTGTAGTGTTGCAAATTTCTGAATTGTGTCTGGAGAGTAGTAATATTACACCAACCTCCTTATATTAAATGCTTATTGATACTATTGGTGTCTGGACTATAATATTTCTAAAAATAAATGTATTATAGGGCATCCCAGGGCAGTGTGAGTTAGGTGATAAGTGCACTCATTCAGTTGGCCAGTTCACTCCTTCTGGTCCATATAAATCAGTGATATCCATCCCTAAATCCAACCTTAGGGGGCGCCCCACACCCCAGCACCTGCTTTGTGTCCTTTGTGTATTTGTGGCTCTGTAACAGCTTCCTTTTGGCATTACCCAGTCCTTCCCATACCTCATGGGTCTGCTCATCTTCCGACTCATTCTTACACATGTTGCAGTTTTTTTATTAATCTGTAACATATTTTAGAAACATTGTAAACACTTGTTTTAAGTAGATTTAGCACAGAGCGTTATTAAAATTGAAAGTATCAGGATTCTGCTGAAGTAATATTATGATATTTTGTAAGAGATATTTATGTTACAGAGAAAGTAAAGCGAAGGGTGAATATGGGTCCTTCAGAAGTGCATGCGAGCATGAGCACGATGATGCCTGTGTCTCCGCAGCAGGGCACCCTCGAGGAGGAAGCTGGCCGAGGGGGCTGTCCCACCTCTCCAGTACGCTTGGCGGCCAGCGATTCGGCCAATGCCCGCTCCCCCCTGCACCGGCGGGTTAACAGCCCTGAGACCGAGCACCTCTCCGCGGCTGAGGGACGACCAGAGGGCCACGGGCAAAGGTGAGGCCCTTGGGAGCTGCTTCAGTGCTGTTTCTTTATATGGTGCATGATGAGCATCAGCAGATCATAGGTTAATGTGAGCGGACCTAACACTGCAGAGCAACAAAGTACAGGTACGCTTGTAATTTATCTGGCAGACGTTTTTATCCCAGGTGGCACACATTTGTGGTCAGAGAGCTGGGTCAGCCAGCATCCCTGGAGTGGTTGGGGCCAAGAGCTTTGCTCAAGAACCCACCAATGATATGATTACTCTGCCGGTCCTGGGATTTGAGCCCACAAGTTTCTGGACATGGGCAAAGACCACTAACCTGCTGAGCTGCATACCACCCAAAATATGGAAAGATTAATGCTCTGATATTGATGTATTGATGTTGATATATGATAGACATACATATAGTGGCACTAGATTTATTTAAAGTAAGCTAAACTCAAAGTAGACTACTGCAGTGAAGTAATATGTCAGTTTGAATCCTAAGTCTGGGTGGCATCCGTTATGTTGTCTGGCTGACTGTTCCATTACCTGTAAGTGCAATAGCTGAAGGCTTTATGGCTGACTTTTCGTATTCTCAAGCTGTGGTAGAGGCCTGCATCATGTGATCTGAGAGTGTTCTCCATGTCCTGCAGAGCTAGATAAGCAGGACACAGGCTTTTCTGTCCCATAAAAGGATGGAGAATCATTTTAACATTTGGTCTGAATTTCTTGGGAAACCAGTGATGATGTGATCCAATGTGATCACATTTTTCAGCTTCTGTTCAAAATTGTGTTGCATTTTTAATTTGCTAAAGATGGTGTGTGATCTGTACTGTAAACCATTGCAGTGGTGTAATCACCTGTAGACATATTTATATATTTCTATTATTGTTATCTGTTCTGTAAGACTTGCAGTATTTCTGAGCTCACAGAGGCATGACTGTGATAACGTGTTAACATTAGTTAACTGGTTTCTGCTGAAAGACCTGCCTCTGTGATAAGGTCAGCTTGGTAAAATAGTCTTCAGAATTAGGAGATGACACGACAAGACACTTGATATAGATGCTCTCAGACAATTAGTGAAAATTAACTTCATGTGTCTGAATGACCTTCCCGTGTAGAAGTACCAAAGGTATGGAGTTAATTTAGTGCCAAAAGTACCAATCAAAATTTTGAAAACCGCAAGCAAATCATTAAGTATCAGAATGAAAATTTGTATTCCAAATATCAAAAAAGTCAAATAAAATAATTTTATCCTTCTTCTTCTCTAATTTGTTTTGCTTTTGGAATGTTTTTCTTTGCTTTTGGAATATTTTTTTTTTTGCTTTTGGAATATTTTTCTTTGCTTTTGGATTTTTTTTTTGCTTTTGGATTTTTTTTTTGCTTTTGACTTTTGGCACTGTTTTAACGGG